TCAACTACTTATTATTAGTTTTCATTTTATTAATATTTTATTTAAAAATGTATAACTTCTAACTGCTAATTATTTATTGTTTTTTTATGAAACCATATCTAAAATTTTACAAGGAATAAAATAAAATCTCAAAGAATGTGTGCACAAAATATCACGTTCCTTGTTAAAAATTACATGTGGATGTACTAGTGACAAGTAAAAAGATCTTTCGATTTTAATAGTAAAAATTGACATGTTTCACAAAAATTTTACATAGCTATGACAGTAGACATGTCGATCACATGAAATCTTGACTGACTGATAAAGAAATAAAATTTTCCGTTTTATGTCAATCATTTATATTAACGTTAAAAATTTTTTTTTGGTTATTTTAAAATTACAATAAAGTTTCATTTTTTTTTTGCATTGATATTCAATCATCATCTTATCTAAGAATATTGAAAATGAGTACTTCTAACATTAATTCTTATGAGCATGAAGGTTTTATTGAAGCAGATGAAGAAAATGAATTTAATTTCCATTTTAAATGTAATGAACATGAAGAGCATGAAGAACATGAGGAGGTTGTTTTAAGTGACAATTTGGAAATAATCAATGTTAATCAGAATACTAATACTTTTATTCAAACTGATAACATTGAAGTTGACAATGGTGAAAATAGCAGAAGACAGTCTACAAGCAGTAGAGGAAATAACAATGGTAATCATTTTCCACCACCACCACCTTTTTCTCCATTAGTGCATAGATACAATTTGCATGATGCTATTGTTAACCTCATGAATTAGAATTATTGTCAAATTTGTCACCTATTTCAATTTTTATGCTTTTTTCACAAGGGTCATCCTATATACAGAACCTATGTGACAAATAAGAATTTATTTTTGGAGGAGTTGGTAAACATTCCATAATTCCTACCACCCTAAGCCTCACAAGTTTAATCGTCACATATAGATAACTGTCACGAGGATGCTACAAAAATTTGAGTTATTTCCTTTTTTTATAGAATAAATTTCCATTTTTGGTAGGGTACTGTATATTTCAAAAAAAGAACCTTTCTGTATATAGGATATTCCTTTTTACAAATGAAATTTTTAATCAACTTGTTGAAAATTCTAATTTATATGCAATTAAAAAGGGTGCTGGAACAGGGAGAAATTGGTATCCATTAAGTGTCCCTGAATTGAAAATTTGGATGGCATTGTTAATATATATGGGTCTTTTTAAATTTCCATCTGTTGATGATTATTGGAATTTGAATGAAAGGTTTCCTAAACATAAAATAACCCAATATATGTCACTATACAGATTTGAACAGGTAAAATTACCACACACATATGTTTTAATTTTATTAAAAAATTTGAAACTAAATTTTTTTTATCAGATTAAAAGATATTTTCATATCTCAAATCCGAATGAGAATACTCAAAATTAATCCACTTGGTTTCCAAAACTTGAGCCTTTGGCCAAACAAGTAAAAAAATTTTCTGGATATATTTATATACCAGCTTCAAGTGTTTCCATTGATGAAATGATTGCAAGATTTTCAGGAAGAACTGCTCAAATTTTTAGAATAAAAAATAAACCAACTCCTGAAGGATATAAAATTTTATCATTGTGTGATGCTGGCTATACTTTTACTTTTACATTCTCTTCCAGAATCAACAAAAATCTGAATATTAAAAAATTACAGGATTAAGTAAAATTGGTAGTGAAGTTATTCATTTAGTAAAAAAATTTGCCAATTAATAAATCCTTTAACATATACATGGATAATTACAAGCATTAATATATTCAAATACTTAAGAGATAGAGGGATTGGTGCATATGGCACAGTTTGTAAAAATTCAGCCAAATTTCCCAGTATATTAAGACCAAAGGAGAAGATGAACTTAACTTGGAATATGCTTTCTGGTGTTGAAGTTGATGAAGCTTTGGCTCTTTTATGGATAGATAATGGTCCTGTAACAATGCTTACTACAATTCATGAAATTACAGGAAAAAATTCCAAAGTTGCTAGAATTCATTGTTGCCCAAGAATTAATAATGTAAATGAAGAGCCATAACTGAAGTTTTTGGTGATCAATCAAAAAAACTTATGGATATTCCTGCTGCAATTGATGATTATAATCATAAGATGAATGGAGTTGATGTGGCAGATAATTAAAAAGTTATTATTCAACACAATTAACTGCAAGATGTATTTGGGTCCCTTTATTCTTTTGGTTGCTTGACACAGTTATAATTAATTCTTATTTAATTCATAAATGAAGTAACTTAATAGCCAATGATTTACCTCACAAAGTCTTTAGATCTCAATTATTATGGGAGTTGATAGAAGATGCTTTGAAAGAAAAAATGGATTTAGGGATATCAACATGACACAGTCAACAAACCATTCCTAATTCCTCTCTTCTGAGCCAAAAATTACCTCACATAATAGCTAAATCTCAACCTTCTAAAGATAGATTAATTACAGGTAATCATTTTGCAGAGTGAAGAATGGAAAGACTTTCATGTATGTTATGTAGATACTTGTTTTTAAAAAGTGAGCAAAAAGCTCCAGTATATAATTTTTGGTGTAAATTATGCAATGTCCCATTATGTTGCAATAGTAACAGGAATTGCTTTAAAAGCTATCATGAAAACAAAGATATTTATTTAAATAAAGAGTAAATTGTATGAATTTTCTTTATTTGTTTAAAAAAAAAAAAAATAAGAAATGTGAAGGAAATTTTTTGTGTGCAAAAATTGTTAAAGTTCAAAAGTTTATTTATAAAAAAAATATTCAGTAAAATTCTAAGTTAAATCCATTAGTGCCGATCAATTTATTTTAGTATAGTATAGCGCCGGTCACAAGTACACATCCAATAAAAATTGCCTTTCTAAGAAATGATATTCAGCAAAATAGAAAAAACATTTTGA